AATCCCAGACCTATGATTCTGTAAATGGGACACGATGTGGAGCAGCTGATTTTGGAGCCTGGTTAACACTGACAGCAGCACACACCACCCAGCACACCCCCACCAGCCCTGATTTCCCCCTCCATGAAGTCTTCACTCATGTTTTTAACCCCAAACCAGCGGGCACTTCTCTTAATTTCTCCAATGTTTCTGTGTTTCAGGCAAGAGAGCGAATAGGAGAGTTTTTCAGGAAGCAGACTTACGCTCTGAAGCACCAATTTCAGACCATCCCTGCCATCCATTACGTGGAGGGCAGCTTCTCCGTGACCCCCATCGACAGCTGCCGCCCAGGATTTGGGAGGAACGCCGTCGCCCACCGGAGCTGTGCCGGCTGCTGCGGTAACGGGGCACCCATGGGGTCACGTTGCTGCCATCAGAGGGTGCTCAGCCCATGGGTGGCATCAGAATTCAGGCGGGTTCCCATTCAGCTTCGATGGGCTCTGCTCTCTTTGCAGTGGTGTGCAGCCCTGGGACGTACAGCCCGGACAGCGCTGGCAGCTGCAGGCTGTGTGTGAGGCACCGCGCTGCGCGGTACGGAGCCAAGTCCTGCCCATGAATGTGGCACAGAACACAGAAACAGGAGGTGTGAAAGCATCGTCGGCCTCCTGACGGCCTCTTCGTGCTGAGCTCCTGGTCCTGGAACTCCACACGCGGTTTTTGAGCAGCGGCCGAGCTCCTCTGCTCGCAGCCCTCCTGCATTCCCTGCATTCAGGCATAAAATGGGGTGTTTGTTCGGGGTGAAGCAATCGCTGTGTGTCACAGAGCTGCTGCTGCTCCCTGGGCTGATCCCAAACACCGCGCTGCGTCTGGGGGCACGGAGGGGTCCTGGCAGCAGAGCAGGACGGGGTCGTGTGTGCTGGAATGCGAAGTTCCTCAGGTGTGAAGCACCAAATCCTCGCCGTTTAGGAACACAAACGCGTTTCTCTTGGTTTTCCCCTTTTCTTTACATCCTGAAGGTTTTGTTCTGCCCGGCGCAGGGCTGGGTGGTTCCTTGGGAAACCACTGCTGATGCTGTGGGGCCTTCAGCACTGTGCATCCGCCAACCGTGGGGAGGGGCTCTGAGATGGGCCTTAATGAGTTCGGCCCTAACGAGCTCTGCAATGCAGGTGGGAGATGAAGAACGCTGCCCTTATGGCTCAGCCTTTCTGTCAGGAAGGAGCGGCGCAGCAGAGGGAAGGAGGGAGAGTGGACATCCAGGGAGGGACGGATGGAGGTTCCTGAGCCTTCTCCACTAGGTGCTGCTGCATCCTCTCCTCCTCCATCCAAGTACGGGAGGCACAGCCCCACTCACTGCACGGCAGCTGTGAGCTCCTGGGATCGGCAGCGGGTCGAGATAAGAGCTTCCAAAGCACTGAGATAACCAGGGAGCTCAGCTCAGCAGAGATTTGCTCCTGCTCGCTTTGGAAGGCGAGCTGCTGTATCTGCAATCGATTGTTTTGCTCATTAAGCAGCATTAGGACAGATTCGACTCCAGTGCTTTCAGTCCATCCCCAGCAGTGCTGCCTTCCCTCCCATCCCACGCAGCGCGGAGCTCCAGCAGCCGTTCATCAGAGCTGCCGCCCTCCCGTCTGCCCCTCGACCTCCCCAGGGGGCACAGAGTTGCCCCCAGCCCCTTCTGCTCCCCGCTGTGGCACAGCTGAGGTCCCACCACGCGCAGGGCAGCGGCCCCAGCTCAGAGCACGGAGCTCTGTGCCGTCAGCCTGGCTCTGCGCTGCGCCAACCCACACAGATGAGCGGCTCCTTCTGGGTGACCGCCGCGTCCCGCAGCACCCAGAAATCCCTCCGTGGGTATTCATCCAAAAACCAACCAGATTCCGCCCTGTTCAGCTTATCCGTGCTGACAGCCGGGCAGCAGAAGGCTGTGTGGGCACAGACCGTGCTCAGAGCTTTTCGGAATCATCGCTTATGAAGTGCTGATGGATAAGATGTGCATCTGAACAGCCCGTGGGGTGGCTGCTCCCACAGCCAACTGGACCCCAATGCTGCCTGGGGGGACGCAGCAGAAGGGCTCTGCTCCCTGCACTCCTCTTTGCCAGCAGAGGAATGTCGCAGCCATCAGCTGTTAGGTGAAGAAGCAGCAGGGGCGCACTGAGCACCATTCAGTGCTCACCACCCTCTCCTCCAACCCCTTTTAAAGCAGTGGGGTTGGAACAAAATCCCGCAGCAGTTTAGCCTTAAGACACTGGAAAAGTGAATCAAACCTTTTGGCTTTGGAGGAGTCTGTGCCATCAGACCAGTGCAGAACACAGCGCACACCTACAGGACGGAACCTTTTCTCTTCCACAACCTCAACAGCTCCCAAAGGGGGTGCCAGCCCCCCCAGGCTCTCCTGAAACCCGGCCTGGGGTGAGGATGGGGCAGCCCTGATGGCAAACAGACAGATGGATGTGAGCTGCAGGAAGATGACGGAGGCTCCATCACTGCCACCAGCTGGGGCAGCCTGACCAAAACCTCCCCATGTCCCCGCAGAAAGGCTCCAGAATCCTCCTGAAACCCTCCCCAAAAATCCCCTCCAGAACTTCCCCTAAAATCTCCCTCCCAAAATCTCCCCATAATCCTCTCCAAATCCGCTCCAAATCTTCCCCAAATTCTACCCAAATCTCCCCAAAACCTCCCAGGAATCTCCCCAATTCACCCCCAGCGTTCTCCCCAGAGCTCTGCCCAAATCCTCCCCCAAATCACCCCCAGACCTCCCCAGACCTCCCCCCTGGCCCCGCAGTGCTCTCAGCCCGCTGCCTGCCTGCGTTTTCCTCTCAGCCCCGTCCCCATAAGGGCAGCACGGCAGGATTAACGCCTCCTTTGCAGGCAGCGAATCGCCGCGAGTCGCTGTTGGCAGCGGTGCCACCGTAAATGGGTTTTTTTTGTGTTGAAAATAAATAAATATGATCCTCTGGAGCTGGTGGGCTGCTGGCAAAGCGTGCGTCGGCCTTCATCGCTGCGTAACCGCCGCCATCCGTTCTAATTAGTGATAAATATTTTGTATAATTGTGGAAATTAAACAATTAGACATCCTTCCTTTCCTCTGCTAAATCGAATCGCCGCGAGGCTCAGGACGTGGCCTGGGGCTGGCAGTGGTGCACAGACCCAAAGGGATTTGCTTCACCATCCCACACAGCACCCCTGCAAACACGGCACCCCCAACCCTGGGACAGGAGCTGGGGTTATTAGCAGCACCGCTAACGAAGGGCTGCACTGCGGCCACAGCCTCAGAAGCCCATCATGGAGATGTGGGGGTTCCAGCCGTGCTGCTCCCTCTGCCATCACCGATCCCGGCTGGTAAATCCACAGCATGGCCAGAAACAAATCACCCAAAACTCAGTGTTGCAGGGGGCTGGGAGGACCCGTCCCCATCCCCGCTACCCCCACCCCAATAGCAGCCAGGGCAGGAAGGAGGTGGGAGCATTGGGACGGGGGCTGGGGGACGCTGCAGGGGGCAGCACCGCTAGGGCAGGTGCTAGAGACCCCCCCCCAGCGGGCAGCCCGGTGCTACGCAGCCTCCCGGGGGGCACCAGCGGGAGCGGGGGGGAAGGGGGGGGCTGCAATCTGTTCGTGGGGCGGCTGCCATCTGCTCGGGGCTGGGGGCAGCCGGGTGAGGGGGTGGCTGAGGTCCTGCAAGCGGGATCTGTCGCTCTGCGTTAGGTCTGGGATTGCTCACCTCCCGGTGCCCCTCCTCGGCACAGTGCAGGGGACCTCACAGGGAGAATGGGGACAGCTCGTCCCTGAGCCCTGCGCCACACCGTGGCCCTGCTCTGGTGCAGCGGGGACGGGTGGGCAGGGAGCTGTGCAGCAGCCACGAGAACGGGGCACGGCGCGGTGACCTGAGCCGGCAGGGCTCATTAATTCCATGCCAAGGTTGGGTTACCTGCAAGCTTGGGTGTCCTGTTTCTGAGAGCCTCACGCAGCAGCAGAGCCCTGCAGGCGTGAGAGAGATGCGGGCACCTTCATCTCCTCCTCGTGGCCCGGGGGGGGGGTCACTGGGGGTCCCCGACGCGAGCAGCACTGGTGTGAGGCGCGACCACCACCGTCTCCAAAGTAAAAGCCAATTTATTGTCGTATAAAGTAAGAACATAAAAGGTCCCTTAAACAAAACACTCCTCGGGAGATGGTGCCCCGGGGGCTCGGTTCGGTTCCCCCCACCCCTGTGCTCCACCACGGGGAGGGGGCAGAGGGCCGGGCCGAGGATGTTTGTGCGCTGGGGCTGTGCTGGGGGTGTAGGCACTTGTGGAGGGCACGGGCTCCCCACAGCCCCATCCGTAGGCACCGGGCACCGGAGGGATGGAGGGGGCCCGAGCCCCGCCGGCCCCAGATGTGCAGGGCGGGCGCTGCCGGAGGTGTTGGAGCAGCTTTGGTTGGTGCTCTCAGTGAGTTAAGGCAGTTGAGCTTCAGTTGGTTTTAAAAAGGACAAAATCAGAGACAGGAGCCGGAGGGGCAGGCGTGGGCTGCCTTCACCCCGAGGTTCCGTGTGGACGCTGCGTGCCCCATCCCTGACGCCGACCCCAGGAGCCCAATACAGAGTGTCAGAAAGGGACATGTGGGGCCGAGGGGACGTCCGGGCTCCTGGCAGCGGTGCAGGGAGTGGGAGGAGGCGGAGGAGCGGCGGCCTCGGCCCCATCCCAGCGCTGTCACAGTGAGCGGTCGCAGCCGTGAGTCCTTGAGAGAGAGCGGAGCTGCAGTGGGGTGCAGCGCCCCAAAGCACCGACCCCGTGTGTCCTCGGACCCCCATCAGCACCCACCGCCCTCAGCACGGAGCACAGCCCGGGGGCTCTGATCCATTTTCGCTGTAACACTCAGAGGGGGAGGTCCCCACTTCACCCTGCTGCCCATCTCAAGGTGAGGGCAGCGACGAGGCGGCAGCTCCAGCTCAGGAAATGGGAGCTGGCGCCGTTCCCCACCGCAGCGTCCCTCCACCCCCGTCCATTCGTCCCATAGGGCTGCACCCCCCTGCCCCGCAGCTCCAGGAACATCCCCAGGGCAGCAGAGGGTAAACCGGAGGGGTTTAAAACACCGACGTCGTTAACGCCCCGGGGAAGGCTGCAAAGAAAATCGAACAGTTTCGCACCGAGTCCCGACGCCCGGAGCGGCGCCGCGTGGCGGGGGCTCAGCTCTCCCCGCTCGCTCTGCGCCCATTGCCGGCAACCAATAACTGAGAACCGACCGTCGCTCCCCACCACGGCCGTGTCCCCAGGAATGCCACGACGACGTCCCGCCGCCCCCGGCCCCGCTCACACCACAGTGCTGATGGTGGACGACTCCTCCGAGTGCCGCTGCTTGCTGGGCAGCGATTTGAGGTACTCCAAGTGCCGCCGCGCGTCCTCCTGGTTCTGGCGCACGTAGTACACCAGGTAGGAGATCACCATGGCGAACCAGCCGAACATGGTGACCAGCATGGCAATGTCCGTCGTCTTTTTGTACACGTTGCAGAAGTCCGTGTCGGCGATCACCTGCAGGAAGGCTTTGCCCACGTGCTCCTCCTGCAGCGCCGAGTCGCAGACGATGCCGGCGGAGGAGCCGGCCGTCAGATCCACGGCGCGGATCAGCTCCTGCAGCCGGCAGTCGCACAGCCAGGGGTTGTTGGAGAGGTTCACCTTGGCCTTCATGTTGCTGAGGACGTCCTTGCTGAGCGACACCAGCCTGTTGGAGGACAGGTCCAGAGAGCGCAGGCGGTCGGCCAGCCCGCGGAACGCCCCGCTCTCGACGGCGGCGATGGCGTTGTGGGACAGATCCAGCTCCAGCAGCAGCGGCAGATCCCGGAAGGCGTCGCGGGGCAGGAAGGGGATGCGATTGGAGTCCAGGTAGAGCTTGTTGGTGTCGTTGGGGATGTCCTTGGGGACCTCGGTCAGCCGCGCGTTGCTGCAGCGGAAGGTCTTCAGCCCCTCCTCCTCCGAGGGGTAGCAGCCCCTGGGGAAGGCGGCGGCGCGCAGGCAGGATGCCAGCAGGACGCCCTGCACGAGCAGCCACATGGCTGTGGGGCGCAGGACGGAGGGCTTCTGACGCCGACACGGTGCCGCAGCGGCTCCGTCACGCAGCCACCGGCCCCTCGGCTCTCACCCGCTGCGCTTTGGGCTGAAGGAGGCACATCTGGGACGGGGACACCAGAGGGACAGCGTCAGGCTGAGGCGCCCGGGGGCACCGCGCCCGCCCGCTGCTCCAAACCGCGGGATGGGGACGGGGTCAAGCAGCGCGGCTCGCCGGTCTCCCCACCACCAGCGGCAGCGCACGGGGCTCCTGCGCAGCGGGATTAGTTCCCGAGGGGCTGAGCCACCGCACGTCTCCTGTGCAGCAGCTGGGCTGTAACAAACGGCCACGGCTCGGGCTGAGCCGGAGGCGGGGGTGAGATCCCCGCCAAGGTCACCGGCAGTGCGAGCTGCCTGAAGCCAGCGCATCCTGCAGAGCTCCGGGCGAGCTGCAGGCAGGGCCCAGGGGAGAGCCGGCAGCCAGCAGGTTCCCCAGCAGCGCGGGGCCGACGGAGGCTGGATGCCGGCTCAGGGGCTGCGCTTCCCAGCGCTGCCAGGGCGGATGTGGGCACGTGCCACGTTTTCTATGGGGCGTTTGATTCGAGGGCGCCGGCGCAGGCGGGTGGCTCTGCTGTCCCCCTGCACGGTGCCACACCGGCCCCAGGGCCGGCTGCCCACACCACCCCGTAACCATGGTCCCCATCCAGCCCTTTATTCCGGAGGGGAAAAACGTCAGCAGGAAAGAAACAAAAAACAGAAAAAGGAAATTCACAGGAGCCGAGCGCTTAGCAAGTTCCCAGGGTGGTGGCAGCAGATAAGGCCACGTCTGAGAGCATGAGCTGCTCAGCTTTTCCCTCCACAGGTCCCAGCACGCTGAGGGGCAGCAGCACGATGGAGGCAGGATGCAAGAACCTTGTGAGCATCCCACAATCGGGGACAGTGGCGTGAAAGGGCAGCCTGGCAGCAGAGCTCCGCTGTGAGAGCCCTGCGCAGCGCCACCAGCACAGGCAGCCCCGGGGTGCAGATGTCCCATGTCCTTCTCCCCACCTGTGGAAGCTGCTCTTTAGGGCTGGGGTCCTAAGCCCCCGGCAGAGCCATCCCGGGGTGCTGTTGGAGTTACGGGGGGAGGCTGCCAGGCCTGGCATGAGGCACGGACACAGCTCTCTCTGCTCGCTGCTCGGTGCAGTAACTCGGTGCAGCTGCACCAAGACGCCCCAAGGTCGCGCCTGCACGGAGCCGACCCGAGAAGCCCACTGCAGGTGGATCCTCGCAGGGAGCAGAGCTCGGAGTAGCCGGAGGGCAACGGCAGCGCCAGCCCCACACCGGCACCACCGCACGGACGGGGAACCGTCCCCCCAGGTCTGCTAGAAGTAACTCGGGTGTTGAGCCCGGGGCTGGGAACGGCTGAAACCGATCCAAACGAGCCGGGATCGGTGATCCGGAAAGGGGGAGCCCCGTCCGCAGGAGCCGGGCGCTGGGGAACCCCCGTGGGCGGGATGCGGCTCTCGAAGATCCCACGGGGGGGGGTCAAGGGGCTCCTGCTGCGGCACTCCGGACCGCGCACAGCACGAGGGCAACTCCTGCCCAACCGCGGGGACCCCGGGAACTGCAGCGAAGGGGTCGGGGCTCTGGG